CTTGGCATGTACAAGAATTGCAAAGAAGCCAAAAAGGCTGAAATGAAGAGAGGGGGAAATATTACAAAGTTAGTTCAGAAAAGCAGCAGAAAAAGAGTACACAGGCACCTGTAAGCCTTGCCAAGGACGTAGTGATAGGAAAAGCCACTGACAGTGAAAAGCAGAGAGTGGTATGATCTGAGCTACGTTGTTGCAAAGAGAATATTCTAGCTGGGCATGGTGGCACACGCCTGTACTCCCAGCATTCGGCGGGGAGAGGCAAGAGGATCGCCATGAGTTGAAGGCCAGCCTGGTAATGAGGATGATTTCAAGTCACATAAAAAAAAAAAAATAGGTTTGCAAGGAGCAAAATAGATATAGAAAACAATTTAGAAATTTAACAAGGTAAAAGCAAAAGTGGTGAGGAACATAGCTCAGCAGCACAAGCGTCTCCACGGCAAGCACAAGGTCCTGAGTTCAAAGCCCAGTACCAAAAAAAAAGTATGTGAATTGTAAAAGCAAAAGCGTACAGGCATTGAGTGTAGAGGGTGAACATGAAATAAGAAAGAGAAGCAATGTATCAGGGAGGAATCTAGGATGACTTTGCTTTCTGGCTTGCCTCACTCTTTGCAAAATAATGTCATTTATCAAAATAGGACTCACAAAATGAGGTATGTTTTTTAGACCTTTATTATGATTGAATTTCATAAAAACATCCTTTAATTGAGTATTACTTTTAAGAATATTCCTGACTTTGGGAGATTAAAAATCACTCCATTACACCCACTCTAGGCTTACTCCTTGGAATGAAAAGTGTATTCCCAGCCTGTAAGTGGGGCATCCTCACACCACGGATGAGAGGGCAACCAGACCCTATCAGGCTACTGATGGGTTTCACAATCACTCTCTTTGGGTTATTAGATTTTACATCAGACAAGAATATTCATAGGTACAATCAATTCAGTTGTCCTCTGCAACAGTCAAAAGATTTCCCCAAATTAGTAGCACACGGGTTTTTTTAAAATAATATTTGATAAGATTTTGGACCTGAGATTGAAGTTAAAAACCTTGAAATCATCCAAGGAAATGTGATCTGTTTTCTGTTGTGAATAACACAATACTATACACTGTATGAATAATACATAAATTTATCTGGGCTCCCCATTCTGGTCCAAAGTCCAGGGACTGCACCTTATGATGGCTTCTTGCTGGCAAAGTCCTAAAGCAACACAAGACTTTACATCACTGTGGAGGACCACTTAGGAGACTCTCCTCGAAAGAGGAGCTCTTGCCTCCATTTTGGATGAGCCTGACCCTATTTCCATGTATTGATATGTACAGAGCTGGCTAGGACCCTTTCCGTATCCCTTCAATTGGCTTTAAGCAATGCATATTGGTCTAGCTGAGGTGCTGATGGTAATGTTTCAAGATTTCAGGCATGTTTGCCCAGATGCCATCCCTCTCCCCTGGTGTCCCCATGTGTGAGCTGGGATGAGATGGATGTGTGAGCCAATGCTCCACGCTGTTGGCTTGGGATAGAGGCCATGACTTCCTGGGGCTTCAAAGATTGCACATCAGAGTTGAAGCACTGACCCCAAAACATCAGATACTGCCTTGAACTGTGTTAGGCAGATTACTCTTTCTGCGTATCCTTCTCTCTGCATTTGCAGAAGTGACTGCAGACCTCCTACCTAGCCCAGCTCATGGCACTTCCCTACTTCCTGTGACTGTCACAGTCACTCATCCTCAAGCCACTCCCTTCTTCATGAACGAATAAAACCTGCATTTGGCCTTGGATCGAAGCCTTTGTTCCAGATGGCCATCACTGTGGCTGGACTTAGGACCCCTCGGCTCCCCATAACTACACATATGCCTTAGTGTCTTTATTCTCACCATGGGTTGCACTGGATGTGGTAGATTCGAATTGACTCACTAGAATTCCAAGAACTTTTCATGGGATTAACATAAACCTCCTGGGCCGCGATGAGGACTGAAAGGCTCTCTATACATCACGAGAGACAAAG